GAGAGAGAGAGAGAGAGAGAGAGAGAGAGAGAGAGAGAGAGAGAGAGAGAGAGAGAGAGCTGCAGGCAGGCATCAGGAGAGGAGAAGATTAACAGATTAATGTTCAAATCCTAATGCGGGGACTCGGATGCGCTGAAGAAATTAAAATTAAGAAGAAGTGAGTTTAAGAAATCCATGATAACAGCTGCGACAATAATTACGAGGGGGAAGGGTCAAAATACAATTACAGAATTTACAGAATTTACAGAATTTACAGAATTTACAGGATTTACAGAATTTACAAAATTTACAAATTATACAAAAAAATGGAATGTCGTGAAAATGTGATGTTTGGTGTCCACCGGTTCTTCCTACGGGTAAATGCGTCAGTCCCAGCCTCTGTTCCCAAAAAATATATATTTTCAATCATAATTTGGCAATTTGCCACTACAAAATTGGGCAAAAGATTGTTCCAGAATTTGTTTTTGTCCCAAACTCGCAGCGAGTTTCGATCTACGACATATCAACAAAACAGCGAATGCCTATTTAAGAAAAAAAAAAGAAGAAAACTACTCCCAGTTCCTCCAAGTCATTCAAGGATACAGGGGAAGAATGAGGGAGGGAGGGATGGAGGGAGGGAGGGAGGGAAGGAGGGAGGGAGGGAGGGAGGAGTGGTTATGTCTGTGTTATAAATGTACAAATAGACCTCAAGAAAAGAATGACGACGAAGCTGCGAGGGCCCCATCGATGACAGAGGGAGAGAGAGGATATGGAGGGAGGGATGGATGGAGGGAGGGAGAAAGAGAGAGACAGGTGATGTGTGGGTATATGAATTTTGAAATTTCTAAAGATACCTCAAGAAAAGAGTGGTGGCAAGGGAACTCCTGGCTTCCCACTGATGAAGCAAAGAATGAAATGAAGGTGAAATCGAAATCGGAAAAACAAAAAAAGGGGGAATAGAAAAAAAAAGGAGAAAGAAAATAAAGCGTGAACAAAATGAAACAAGGATAAACTGAAATGAGAATGAACGTCAACGAAATGAGATGGGATGAAACACGAATGTCGTCCTTGATTAACGAACAATCTCTCTTTTGGGAAATGTGAGGTAGTCCGAATGTCGGGAACCTGATGGTTATATTAGTCAATCAATCAATCAATCAACCAACCAATCAACCAACCAATCAATCAATCAATCAAGTGACCAATGGATCAATCAACTGATCAATCGACTAACCACTCAATCAATCAATCGATTAACCTCTCAACCAATCGATCAATTGAGACAAATAATCAGTTAGCGGCGGCTGCAATGTCAAGTCATCAACCGCACGAATCAACTAAACCCTAAACCAACAGATCACCGGCAAAAGAAAGAAAGAAAAAAAAAAAACACAGCCCAGATCACCGGCTGCAAAACTGCGGCAAAAATTGAAGGGCTGAAGAAGCCCTGGTCAACCTGTCCTTCCTTCTCGTCAGCCTCGAACTCGTAACGGCAAGTCGGGTACGCAAATAGAATGTATCAGTCAGACGTCGCTACTCGTCGGGGAACTGAATTAATCCACATACTGCTACTACATTCATTCCACTTCACTATCATTTCATCCTCCTATAGAACTCTTGAGTATGAGACCGAGCGAAACTGATCCTGCCCTAAACCTGCAACGAAACGGTTAAAAGCTAGGTCTAAGCAAGCACAACTGCTGCAATCCTCTATCTATTCTAATTGTTCGCTTGTTTTGTATTCTACCTGTCTCTTATACACATCTAGATGTGTATAAGAGACATGGCTAGACTTGGCCAGACTGGATTTGATTGCCCAGCTAGCTAGACTTGGCCAGACTGGATTTGATTGCCCAGCTAGCTAGACTTGGCCAGACTGGATTTGATTGCCCAGTTGGCTAGACTTGGCCAGACTGGATTTGATTGCCCAGCTGGCTAGACTTGGCCAGACTGGATTTGATTGCCCAGCTGGCTAGACTTGGCCAGACTGGATTTGATTGCCCAGCTGGCTAGACTTGGCCAGACTGGATTTGATTGCCCAGCTGGCTAGACTTGGCCAGACTGGATTTGATTGCCCAGCTGGCTAGACTTGGCCAGACTGGATTTGATTGCCCAGCTRGCTAGACTTGGCCAGACTGGATTTGATTGCCCAGCTAGCTAGACTTGGCCAGACTGGATTTGATTGCCCAGCTAGCTAGACTTGGCCAGACTGGATTTGATTGCCCAGCTGGCTAGACTTGGCCAGACTGGATTTGATTGCCCAGCTGGCTAGACTTGGCCAGACTGGATTTGATTGCCCAGCTAGCTAGACTTGGCCAGACTGGATTTGATTGCCCAGCTAGCTAGACTTGGCCAGACTGGATTTGATTGCCCAGCTGGCTAGACTTGGCCAGACTGGATTTGATTGCCCAGCTCGCTAGACTTGGCCAGACTGGATTTGATTGCCCAGCTAGCTAGACTTGGCCAGACTGGATTTGATTGCCCAGTTGGCTAGACTTGGCCAGACTGGATTTGATTGCCCAGCTGGCTAGCCAGCTAGATAGCCTCCTATGTACACATTCACATCCAACAGTGTTTCAAAGAAGAAGAAGAAAACAAGAGAACAGTTACTGTTAGAGAAAACATCACCCCCCCGATGCCTCAGCCACCACGGCGCGCACTATCGAGTCGCGTCCCACGCCTTTTTCAATGTGTCTTCTTCATCGCAACATCCCACTTGTTCGAATAGAAACCAAAACATGCCTCGACCAGCACAACCCATTATCCACTTGTCAGCAGTCCATTCCAATCTTCTTTTTTTTTTTTTTTTTTTTTTTTTTTCCAACACAGCATTTGTTTTGTCTTGTCTTGATGGCATAAACAGGACCGCTGAAATCGGCACGGTCGCTCCGCTCGTCAAGCGTCTAATAATTTGCGGTCGACCGTCCGATTATTTCTTTCCGTGTGTCAAACCGCTGGCCGGGGTCGCAGCAGCACACACATTTCTCATCAAGCTGTGACCGCTGCTGGCTGATTCCCATCGCGTCACCTCGTTGTTGGCGGCGGTGCCGCCGCTGCCACGGTGAATCCGCACCCTTGACTGGCAAATTGCTGTCTACCACTCCATCTCCAACTCTGTTCTATTATGCCTCAATGTCCACCACACACACAGAACTCCTCAGACTTTCTCCTTGTGGAATCGTGATGAAGAACCGCAGTAAAGAAGATCCATCAATCAACGATCCCTCACTGCATCGCTCACGACCGTCGGATATATCCAAAATTTTACGCACCTCCCAAGTAGTCTTTCGGGTCCTCGTTGTGAACCTTAGTTCCAATTCCAGGACCATTTGACTGCCTCCAACATTCCATGCTGTAACCCCCCTTCCAACTGGTAGCTGCTCAGTCAGCTGACCTGTCGAGGACAACGCCTGTCTGCTGGCCATCGAAGAAGATCATGTCGTGAATTTCGTCAGTTCGAATTGCTAACGTTACTCGCGATATCCAAGACGGCGCAAATATATATAGTCTTGTTGGCCAAACTACCCACATCCAGAGGCAGAGCAGGAACTACATACGCACATACATACATACATACATACATACATACATACATACATACATACATACATACCTGCACGTAGACATACATAATATATACATGTATAGACATGTGTACATGTATACACATTATGTATGGACATATATAAATAGAATACTCGTCGTTCATTATCACTACATGGACTATGGTACGAATGAAGCATGGCCCTTTGTTGAACCTAACAATGCGACGGAACTCGGGTTACAGCTGTACATCAAACTACATGGAGAACAGAGTCGAATACACAAATATTTATACTCTTGTCTGCACCACTCCTTGATGCGTTAAACGACGTGTGCTGTGATGCTTGGCAGTATAGCAAGTGGTATAGCCAATTGCTAAACAGATCCGTTGTTGTAACCGACGGGTAAGAAGAAAGAGATCCACAATGAGGGACCCACCAAGGGATTAAGCAGCCAGCCCGTTTGTTGTTAGCTGCTCCTGCTCGTTGGCTAAGCAGAATCTAGGTCGGCCAATCTACTCTCTCTAGCCAATGGCTACTGCTGCCTATTGGCTGTTATTGGTTTAGGGAATCAGTTGAGGCCCAATCTATTCTTTAGCCAATGGCTATTGGCAAGGCAATCAGTTTAGGCCCACCTATTCTTTAGTCAATGGCTATTGGCTATTGGCTGCTATAGGCTACGCAGTCAGTGAACCTGCATGCGCTGATCGGTGAGCGATAACAAGCTCCACACGTGGCAATGGCTGAGAAAATTACCAATCTAATGATTAAGCGATAGCACTCGTGATTTGCACGTGGAATAACAGGATCCAGGTGCGCCGATAGCTAAGCAACGTTCGTGTTAGTCGACGGCTAAGGGCTATACGCAATATAGTCGAGGGCTAAGGGCTATACGCAATATAGTCGAGGGCTAAGGGCTATACGCAATAGTCGAGGGCTAAGGGCTATATGCAATATAGTCGAGGGCTAAGAGCTATAAGAAATAGTCGAGGGCTAAGGGCTATAAGCAATCGTCAAGGGCTAAGGGATATAAGCAATAATCGAGGGCTAAGGGCTGTAAGCAATGGCACGGCTGACAGTCTCTCACCAATTGATAGGGGCACCCTCGATGCCAAGACTGTCGGCGCTTGAACCGCCAGTACACGGCCCCAGCATTGCTGACAAGAAAACTCGTCGCCTACGAAAATTTCGAAAGCCCAGCGCTGTAGATAACATAAATTGAATCGGCGGCGGGCGGCCTCCGCAAAGGGCCCGCGACCGATAGATGGATGTACTGGTGGTTTAAGCTGTTTTCACCTCCCCCCTGCCATGCACTAATGAAGTGTCTGGCAATGATGCAGCAATGCGATTCTACCTCCCTCCTTCCTTTCGTTCGCTCACTTCTTTAGCACCAGGACCCTGAATTATATAGGGTAAGGTCGAGGAGTGGCTGTGGGCTCTACTCACCCCCCAAATTCTACACATACCTGGGCAAATGGAGACTCGATGTCGAGCAGTCCTGTCCTAATGCCCCCCCAGCAGTTCAGCCAGCGATCGCCGAGTCCGCTGGTAGCTAAGCGATCCCTGTGTTGCAGCTGATAACCACGCGTGTGTTACCTGGTGGGTCGGCGATCCGTCTGTTGGCGAATGTGCCTTAGCAATCTTTGGCACAGCTAACTGCCAGGCAATCTAACCTGTTGCCTGTGTTGTGCTATAGCCAATAGCCAATGGCGGGGTTCGAACTCCTTTAGACAAAAGGCAATCTAACCTGTTACCTGTGTTGTGCTATAGCCAATAGCCAATAGGCTGGGTTCGAACTCCTTTGGACAAAAAAAAAGGTTAGACAAATTCTATTCGGAAGTTACCTTAGTTAGTTAGCAGCTGTTTTTCTAACTTGTATGCAGAACCAACCACCCGGCCCATGATTTGCAAGTTAACACGCTACACTCCCAAGTTCGAACTCCTTGCCGCTCATCTTTTTCCACGTCGCGTGACTCGTCCCGGGGAAGAATACCGACTTCAGATTCCACCAGCCTCTGGTAAGCAGATTGTATATTTTCCGCAGGACTCGGCGCAATCTCAACTTCAACTTCTTGTACTTCTTCTTCCCCCCGCGGAGACCTTTGCCCTTTTTCCTCCCATCCCCTCGACTCACGCCTCCGGCAGTCTGCGATAAACCAGGCACACTCACCAGTCGTCCACCAAGAGGCGTTTCCGGCTTATGTGCAGCGGCATTCCCCATCGCTTCCAGCTCTGCGATAGTTGGCAGTATGCATGCTGTTAACTGATGACCGTATACGCACGCTGTGTCCAGACCAGTTGCGCGATCGCAGCTGCCACAAACACACCGGGATCGCCATCACCACCGGGATCAACATTATTAATTTATCACGCAACGTTCCCTCCCCTCCCCCCCCCCCCCTAATAACAAAATATTAACAATTCTAGGACATAAATTCGGACATTCACACATTTCGTGATTTATGCACTGCCATCCTTGAGCGGGGGGCAGACTAATCTTCTCTGTACCTGTCTCTTATACACATCTAGATG